GCCGCCGCGCTCCTGCTCGGCGAGGGCGGCCAGCTGCGACTCCTGCACCTCCAGCCGCGCCGCCCGCGCCGCCCGCTCCCTCTCAAGGCGCCTGCGCACGGCCGCCACTTCGTCGCACTCCGCCCGCCGCACCATGGCGCCACGGCGTGCCGCGTTGAGTTCCTCCAGCAGCCTGCGCTTCTCCGCACGGAGGGTCTCGGCAACACGCACGAGCGCCGCCCGCTGCTGCAGCTGCTCGCCGCAGGCCTCGCCGAGCGCAAGGTGCTCCGCACGCAGCCGCTCAAAGCTCCGAGTGGCGCGGCCGAGCTGCACGACGGGGTGGGCCTCCGACGCCTTGAGGGACGAGCGCAGCGCGAGGATGTTCTTGCGGAGCCCGCTGACGCACCGCTGCGCCGCGTCAAGCGCACGGTACGGGTCTGTGCGGCAGTGCAGGTAGTCTGCCTGCGAGAGCCACTGCGGGCAAGCCGCGTCCGTCATCTGGTCTTTCTACTCGCCACGCCACCAGCTGGGATACAAGAGAGAGAGAGGGAGGGAGGGTCGCGCAACCGCGCGGAAAGCGCAGCACCGTAACACGGGGGACAGAGCAAAGAAACACTCGGACAGACAATCGCACGCAAACACACACGCAATAGAAAAACAAACACGGCAAGAAAGCGGCACAACAAACGAGGACGCAGAGGAAAGTTCCACTCGAAGGCGAAACACTATACATCCGCGGCGGCGCGAGCCCGCGCCGTCAGACGGCACCCCATCGCTCCAGCAGAAGCGCACGCGCCGCCTCCCCCGCGCCCTCGCTGTGTCGCTGCGACAGCTGCAGCACGCGGCCCACCGCCGCCTCGTGCCGCTGCCGCTTCTCCTGCAACTCCACATCCGCCGCCACCTCCGCCGTGACAGCGGCACGGGCCCTGTTGATCGCCTGGCTGTACCGGATCACCGCCTCCCTGCCCTCCAGGATGGCCCCGTGCGCGTGCTCGCAGGCCTGCCGCAGCTCCTCCACGGCACTCACCGCCCGCTCCTTCCGCGCCGTCAACTGCTGCAGCTCCGCCGTCTTGCCGTGGAGCACCTCCTGGTACTCGCTCGCCTCCAGCGCACGGCGGCTGATGGCGGCCTTGAGCTCCCGCTGCTTCGCCTCCAGCGCCCGCCTCGTCTGCTCCTCCCCGTCGCTTTCCTGCACCCGGTCAAACATGTGGCGGTAGTTGGAATTGCTTGCCCGGATGACCTGCAGCGTGCGCTCCAGCTTCAGCAGCTCGCGCTCCAGCCGGGCCACGCGCGCGTCCAGCGCGTCCCCCTTGCACTGCAGCGCCTCGCGCTCCTTCGCCGCCTCCATCACGAGCTGCGCCTGCGACCAGCGCGCCTGCTCCGGGTCCATGCGCCCCACGCGCACCTCGTGGCGGTTGCGCAGCGCCGCGAGGGCCTTCTGGCGGTCCAGCAGCTCCGCGACGAGCCGCCGGCGCTCCTCCTCCGCCAGCTTCGCCTCCATCTTGAGGATGTCGTGGTGCACGGCGATCTCCGCCGCCCGCTGGGACACGTCCAGCGCGAGCTGCCGCTTCTGCCCCTCAAGCTCGCCCAGCTCGCCGCTGCGCTGGTGCAGCGTGCGCTTCAGCCCCTGCAGCTGCAGCTCCTGCGTGTCCACCCGCACCAGCTCATCCTCCCGCACCTTGCGCAGCCTCCGCAGCTCCGCCCCGCAGCTGTCGCACGCAAGCCGCAGCTGCAGCGCCTTGTCGCACGTGCTCGTCTCCTGCTCCCGCAGCCGCGCCACCTCCAGCGTCGCCTGCCGCGTTTCCTCCCGCACCCGCTTCACCTGCGTGTCCAGCGCGCGCTGCTGCCCGCAAAGCTCGTCCAGCGTGCCCTGCAACGCCGCAATCTTCTCGTTCAGGCGGCTCCGCTCCTCCTCCGTCCGCTCCCCCTTCGCCCGGTTCACCTTGCGCTGCATCTGCTGCACGTTGAACTCCACGTTGTACAGGATCTCCTGCTGCCCAAAGTGCTCGCGGTCGAGCTGGCCGATCCTCGCCTTCAGGTTCCGCCCCTGCGCCTGCCCGCCGCTGATCTCCGCAATCAGCTCGTCCTGCAGGCGGCCGGTCGCCTGCAGCCGCTCCCCCGCGGCGAAGTCCTCGCGCTTCAGGTCCTCCACCTCCTTGTCGAGGCGCCGCTCCGTCGCGCGCGCCTCCTGCAGCAGCCGCGCAATCGTCGCCCGCTGCTGCTCGAGGTCCAGCGCCGTGTCGAGCTCGCCGTGCAGTTGCTGCTTCGTCCGCGCCCGCTGCTCCACCGCGCGGTCGTACGCCGCCGCCTTGTGCACAGCCAGCGCCCGGTTCTCCTCGGCGCGAACGCGGGCGTTGTTGCGCTCCCGCACCGCCCGCGCAACCTGCTCGCGCAGCGTCTCCACCTCCTCCTCCATCGCCACAACGTGGCCTTCCAGCGACGCCAGCACGCCACGGTGCTTCTCCGCGCGCTGCTCCCGCTCCTTGATGCCCGCCTGCGTCGCCGCCGCCGCCTCACGCGCCGCGTCGAGGTCCGCCACGAGCGCCTGCAGCACCGCCCGCCGCTGCTCCAGCCACTCCGCGCCCTCCGCGTACTGCATCGCCGCCGCGCGAATCGCCGCGTCGCGCTCGTGAATGACCTTCACGACGCTCTCCCACTCGTCCAGCAGCGCGCCGCGGTCGTGGTGCAGCTTGCGGTAGTCCGCCGCACTGCGGTCCAGCTCCAGCTGCACGTTGCGCGTGACCATCACCTCCTCCTCCAGCGCACGCCTGCGCTCACGCAGCCTCGCCTCGAGCCGCTCGACGGCCGCGTTCAGCTGGCGTGCCCGGACCTCATCATCCTTTGCGTAGCGCGCCACGGCCTCCTCGTCGGCCTCCTTCTGCTTGCGCGCGAGGTCCCACTGCTCAAGCTCGTCCTGGTTGAACGTCATTGCCCCCTTCAACTCGGCCATGCGCAGGTTCTCCTGGAAGATGCGGTTCTGCACCGCCTGCAGCTGCTCCCGCACCTCCGCCTGCTGCGCCTGCATGTGCGCCTGCCCCTGCCTCAGCCGCCCGCACTCGCGGTCGAGGAGGCGGTACATGTGCGTTCCGGACTCCACCTCGCGCCGCTTGCACTCCACCAGGCTCTGGGTGCTCACGATCTCCCCACGCACGTTGCTGAGGTGCTCCTTCATGAACTGCAGCCGCCTCCGCAGGTCCTCTATCGCACGTATCTTCTCATCGCACAGCTGCTCGTGCCGCGACAGCTGCGCCGTCAGCTCCTTGTTCGTTGCGTTCAACAGCTCCAGCGGGAGCGCCTCCGCCGTCGCATCGATGACGTCAACGTTCATAACGATTCTGGAGCCCGGGAGACACATTGGGAGGAGGCAAACAGCGGGGAGCATGAGGGCAGAAGAACGGCACCCCCAGGAAAAAGAAGAAGGAAAGAAAAATACGAGATGCAACGCACACCAAGAAGCAAAAACATGCATATATAAGAAGTAAGAGGCTGATGGAAGATCAT